CGACGCGACGGGACGGCAGGAACGGGCGCGACGCGGCTGACAGGCGTGACGCGACAGGACGGGACAGGTAGGGGCGACGCGACGCGATGGGACAAGCGGGCGCGACGCGACCGGCAGGCGCATCGTGCGCTAAGGCACGGGACAGACCGGTGCGATAGGCGCTAGGGGATGGTACAGGCATAGCGGTTACTAGGGTACGGGACAGGCTCGGGCGTTACGGGCGTGAACGGGAGGAACGGGATCCCACAGGATCCTAACCTAGGGGATACCGATGAATGATGGTTTGGCTATGATTGGTTGGGGTACATAAACCTAACCCTAACTGCTGTACCCCATATGACACACATCACTAAAGGCTACAACATTTGATATTATCCTCCGTTCCTGCCTCTCCACCTTTCCATCCTGCTTTCCCATCGCTCCTCCCTTTGTTACTGCTTCGAGCAGGACAAGTTCAGGTTTGTTAGAAACTCAATGATGGTTCATTGATGTGGGTTGGGGTACATATAGCAAACCCTAACATTTGTACCCCCTAAGACAAGCCTCACTACAGGCTACAACACTTGACACACCCCCATAGCGTAAGTAAGGAGTATCTAGCAAAACCAAAAGAGTACGGTCACAAGACCAGTCACAAACAAACAAAGCTCAGGGTGGATCACAACGTCACCACACATTCTAAGCGCAAACAAAGGGCCACAAGGCCAGTCAAAGAGTTCAGAGGTATATAAGTAATGAGTACAAGACAACAAGCAACAACTATGCACGACGAGAACCAGAGTCAACGAGACCTAACTGCACATAACACATGTGGTGGTCACAAGGCTGAAGAGCCTTGGTGAAGATGTCGGCAGTATTAGCCTCGGAATTCACAAAGTCCAAGCGAGTCTATCCACGCTTCTGCAACTCTCGCAGAAGAAATTACCTGACGTTGATGTGCTTCACTCTGCTCTCCAGTCGAGGCTCCCGACAGAGAAGAATCGCCGCCTTGTTGTCAGTGAACAAGGTCGGTGCAGAGCTCGGCCGCTCACCAAGGTCTGTGAGCAAGAAAGTCAACCAACGCAGCTCCTGTGCCGCCATGGCTTCAGCGTAGATCTCAACCTCAGTGGTAGAGGTCGAGACCGAGGAGGAGCGCGTGGACCTCCACGAAACAGCTCCAGAGCCCAGGCTGAAATAGTACCCCTGAGTAGACCTGTGAGTCTCGGCGTCGTCAGCGTAAGAAGAGTCACAGTGACCAGTAAGGACGACCGGCTGTGTCCCTCCAAGTACCAACCCCATGCCTTATGTTGTTGCGAGGTACTTCGCCACCCTCACAGCAGCGGTCCAGTGAACAGGACGGTGTCTCCCTGGCGCAACAAAGCGAGCAAGGATGCTGAGAGGGTAGGCGAGGTCCGGGCGAGTACATGAGGCAGCCCACAAGCTCTCCAAGGTCACTACACGTGTGTCTCTTCTGCAGTTCGCGCTTCACGTCAACGAAAGCAACCCTGTCAGCAGTGGCAAAAACCAGGTCGTCGACGTAGACCAGTACAAAGAACGGTGTGGAGCCACGACGAACGAACAGCGACGGGTCGGCAGAAGACGGCTGGAAACCGAGGTCAGACAGAGTAGAACGAAGGGTGTCGTGCCACTCACGAGGAGCCTGACGGAGACCGTAGACCGGTCGTCTCAGCCTCCACTGGATCCAAGGAGGGAAAGTGCCAGTGAAGGCAGAGGGACGACGCAACCAGACCTCCTCGTGTAGGCTACCTTGAAGGAAGGCAGTGGAGAAGTCGAGAGAGTGTAGCTCGTAGTCTCTCTGTGCTGCTGCGTGCAGTAAAACCTGAAGAGTGGTCATCTTCGGGGTAGGCGTGAAGGTATGAAAGAAGTCGACTCCCTCGCGCTGACTGAAACCTCTAGCCACGTAGCGCGCCTTGAAGACCGGAGGAGATCCCGGTGGCCGCTTCACCCTGTAGATCCACATGCCATCGACTACGTTCGCCCCAAGGGGGGGAACCTCGTCGATGTAGGTGCCTGTGGATCTGTAGGAGGCCATCTTTGCGTCCATGGCAGCTCTCTACCGAGAGGCCCCTCACACTGCCTCAGCGTAAGTGCGAGGAGTCGGTATGTCAAGGGCGTCGGGGTCTCCCTCAGGGGCGAGCAGCATGGCACAGAGATGAGGGGAAGCGGCCGCCAGGAACTCTAGCTCAAACTGCCTGTCCTCTAGGGCGTCACAGCCAAGGGCAGACTCACCTCCGACGGCCAGAGGATTGGTAGTAGGAGCAACCACAGGACTGGTGGCGTAGTCAAGGCGGCGAGTAGAGGCAAACTCAGTGACTGCGGCAGTAAGAGCGGAGACAGAGGACACAGAGGCACGAGGGTCGGTAACAAGAGAGGCGAGAACACGAGAGGGAACAGGACGGTATGTGCGGTAGTAGTCAGTGACAGGAGTAGAGAGGGAAGCAGTGAGGGCCGACTCAGGAGGAGAAGGAAGGAGAGACGGGGACGAACGAGGCGGACTAGAACGAAAGAGGGCAGTACGAAGGTCAGTAACGAGAACAAGAGACGAGGGATGAGCACGAGGAGAGCGATGAGAGGCCCAAATCAGAGAAGGAGGGGACAACGGAGGCTGAGAACGAGGGAAAACAGCTGGAGAAGAGTCAGGCGGAGGAAACGTGGGATCGTAGACAGGAAGCGAGGGGGAGGAGGAAGGAGAGCGAGAGGGGAGACCGAGGGTCCGAAGACCAAAGACAGGAGGAGGGGGCGACTGCAACTGCTCCTGCTGCGGCTGCGACCGCTGCACCTGCTGCTGCTACTCCTCCAGCCGCGGCTGCCGTTGCTGCTGCTGCTGCTGCGGCTGCTGCTGCTCCTACTGCTGCTGTAGCTCCATCCCTCACTCCTCCTCCTTGCGTCCGGCCACCGAGCCTTTTGAGACTCTCCACTTGGACGTCTGGGGCCCCGCCTCTCGCCTTGGCCCTGAGCGTGAGCGTTTCTTTCTGGTGGTCGTTGACGACTACTCCCGCTACACCACAGTGTTCCCCCTGGCGAAGAAGTCTGAGGTGACTTCTACGCTGATCAAGAGTTGCTTACCACCGCGGACACTCGTGGTCGTCGTGTCAGCTGTCTTCACTCCGACCGCGGGGGTGAGTTTCGCTCCAGAGTTCTCGCTGAATTCTGTCGCAAGTAGGGCATTCGTCAGTCCTGGACGCTTCCAGAGTCCCCACAGCAGAATGGGGTTGCTGAGCACCGCATAGGCTTGGTCATGGAGATCGCCCGCACCTCCTTGACTCACGCGCGTGCCCCCTAGAGGACAGGCAGTTTGAGCTAGAGTTCCTGGCCGCCGCTTCCCCTCATCTCTGTGCCATGCTGCTCGCCCCGACGCCCTTGACATACCGACTCCTCGCACTTACGCTGAGGCAGTCGGTATGTCAAGGGCAGCGGGTCTCCCTCAGGGGCGAGCAGCATGGCACAGAGATGAGGGGAAGCGGCGGCCAGGAACTCTAGCTCAAACTGCCTGTCCTCTAGGGCGTTACAGCCAAGGGCAGACTCACCTCCGACGGCAAGAGGACTGGTAGTATGAGCAGCCACAAGACTGGTGGCGTAGTCAAGGCGGTGAGTACAGGCCCGCGGCGGGCGCAAAACGCAGGCGTGGCGGGCGCAAGGGGCAGGCCCGCGGCGGGCGTAACTGACAGGCGCGGCAGTGGAGAACGGGAGGGCCCGTGGCGGGCCAAACGGGTAGGCGCGGCGGTGCGAAGGGAGAGCCCGCGGCGGGCCTAACGAGCAGGCGTGGCGGCGGGCATAACGGGCAGGCGCGGCGGCGCGAAGGCAGGGCCCGCTGCGGGCCTAACGAGCAGGCGCAGCGGCGGGCGGAACGAATGTGGACGGGAGGAGCGGGATCCCACAGGATCCTAACCTAGCTGATACCATGTTAGAAACTGAATGATGATTCATTGATGTGGGTTGGGGTACATATAGCAAACCCTAACATTTGTACCCCCTAAGACAAGCCTCACTACAGGCTACAACACTTGACAAGGTTCAGCAGAGTTAGGCAGCTTATCAGGAGCAGCATCAGACACAAGTGTTGGATAAATTATGACCAGCTAGAGCAGAGGACAACCCCCCCTGTGTATCTTGAGTTGTGTACAACACACGTCACAAGTCGCATATAATGCTGTGCTGTGCCCATATGCATCGTGCAATGTACGCAAAGACGGAAGGGAATTGTTTGTAGGTGCAGTCATCAACATTTTGAATAAACTGATGTAGTATGGCATGCTATCAACTCACTTGATTGATACGCTAACGGCACACACAAGTTGGAACTTCCTGCCTATTTATTTGGTTTCACTAAGCTGCAAAGAGCAGCACTCAGAATGAGAAGGCCTGATGTCCTTCGTGTTGTGCTGTGGAAAAAAAAAAAAAAAAAAAAAAAAAAAAAAAAAAAAAAAAACACACACACACACACACACACACACAAAACAAAACAGACAAAGGCAAGCTGCAGAAGATTCAGAGGGTAAGCTGGCGGGGAAGGGAGGGGAAACAAAGGGGGAGCAAGGGTAGCACGTAGGGAAGTAAGGAAGGGTAAGCAAAGGGGGGAGGAGGGGAAGGAATGTGCAGCATGTAAGGGCGCTGCAGCTCCATCACGCGTGCCAGCAGCATGAGCGCACTCACCTGCCGGCAGGGTGGGGCAGGGCAGGGTAAGGAAGGCTAGGGAAGGGCATGGCATGGCAGAACAATGTGTGAAGAGAGGAGAGGGAGAGATGCATGTCGGGAAGATATGCAGCAGTGGTGACAGGGTAACACGTGAGAGGCTTGAACTCAGTGGGTGGTGGGAGGTGCAAAGCTGATTGATTGACAACTGGAGAGCTGTCGAGCACATCGTGAGCAGACGCAGCAACATAAGAGCAAGTGCAGATTACTCCGGCGCAAACGATTTGTCCCTCTATGCATGTGTGCGCCGCACACAGTTTTGCACTCACCCGGACCGTCCTCGAGGGAAATGGGGGGAAGTAGGGGGGTTATGAGGGAAAGGAGAGGGGGAAACGAAGGGAGGGAGAGGGGAAAATGAGGGGAAGGAGGTGTAAGGAGGGGACGGGAAGAGGGAAAGGAGGGGACAGAGAAGGGGAAATGTGGGAAACGAGAGGTGGGGATTTTGTGGAACGAGAGGATGAAATGAGGGGAGAGGGGGGAACGAGGGGACGGAGTAGGGGAAATGCGAGAAAAGAGAGGGGGAGATGAAGGGACAGAGAGGGGGAAATGAGGATAAGGAAAGGGTGAATGAGGGGAAGGAGGGCGATGAGGGGAAGGAGAGGGGGAAATGAGGGTAAGGAGAGGGGGAAATGAGGGGAAAGTGGGGGTAATGAGGGGAAGGAGAGGGGGAAGGAGGGTGAGCAGGGAGGGAAATGAGAGGGAGCAGGGGGTGAAATGAGAGGGAGCAGGGGGGAAAATGAGAGGGAGCAAGGAGGGAAATGAGAGGGAGCACGGGGGAAAAGAGAGGGAGCAGGGGGAAATGAGAGGGAGCAGGGGGGAAATGAGAGGAAGAAAGGAGGAAAATGAGGGGGAGAAGTGGGGGAAAGGAGAGGGAGAAGGGGGGAAAACGTGAGGAAGAAGGGGGTGAAATGAGCAGGAGAAGGGGGGAAATGAGAGGGAGCAGGGGGGGACTTGAAAGGGAGCAGGGGGGGAATTGAGAGAAAGAAAGGGGGAAAATGAGGGGGAGAAGTGGGGAAAGGAGGGCAAGCAGAGGAGAAAATGAGGCTACGCTACTTGAAAATCAAAGGGGGAAAAGAGGGGAAAAGGAGGGCTAGCTTGGGAGAAATAGGGGCAAGGTGAGGTGAGAGCGATCCGGGAAGATAGGGAAAGTGAGACGTTTCGAGGCGTGCGCCAAATTTGAGGCGAGTCTAGGGACATTCGCGCAGTAAGGGACGCGAGCAGCAGGTGAGGCCAGCAGAAGGTGAGGCGAGAAGCCGGTGACGTGCTAAGTGAGGCGAGCAGCGAGTTACACGAGAAGCGCGCTAAAGTTGAGAGGCGAGCAACGGGTGAGGCGCTAAGCGGGTGAGGCGCTAAGTAGGTGAGGCGCGAGGCAGCCTGCTTATATTTTGAGCGGGTGAGTGGAGTGTTTGAACTAGTTATATTTTGCCCCCTCCCTGTGAATAGGCAGAATACCCTGTGGTTCACCACGACAGGAACAGGACTGGGCTCCTGACTAAGGACAGCCCAAACATTCACAACACCAGCCGGATGCGGGCTGTTGTTCGCAACTGGATGCGTTTCACCATCCTCAAATGGCGCTCGACGAGAGGGGGTCCGCGTTGGCATCCTAAGGAGAATGCGTATCAGTTTAGTGCTGGGGAGCACTACAGGGTGTTGATCAGCTCCCCCCCGCCTGACGAGGTCGCGGATCTGCCGATTGAAATTGTCGGCCCTGAAATACACGATGGGGATGAGGATGCTCCTCCAGCAAGTGTGGCTGCTGAGCCCGGTCTGGAGGGCGCCACTGAGTGACGTGCATGCTGAGTGTGGGATTAGGGGTTGTGTGCTGGATGATCATCGTTGAGATGACTTTGTGTGTGATTCGTATTTATGTAATGAGGCAATAAACCGTGCAGCGATTATTCTAACGTAAACGATATTGAGTGGGTAGGATCCATCATCGAGCTCCACTCCAGCGTGCGCCTATCTACTGTGCACTATGCACCTTGCATACCTAGTGTATGTGTGTGTACAGAGTGTACACAAAGTGTTTAGTTGAGCATACAGGTGTGAGTGTACATAGTGTACACTCTGCTCTTAGTATAGATTGCACGTATGCATGGGCTAGTAGTGCTTGCTTTGTAGCGACTTTGTATGCACAGTGTACCCGAGTTTGTATATCACAAGTCCCCACTCAGTTATTAGCGCAGACTTCAAACACAAGTAGTTTCTTAGTAAGAGAACCTGTGGACACAATGTGTCCTAGTGTGGAGTCGCAACATTGCATGTTGTTAGTCCACACAAGGTACTTTCGAAGTCCAATCAGAGGCCTTTTTTGGGATGAGGTGAGGCGTGCAGAGGGATATCTAAGAAGCGGATGAAGCACTAAGCAAGTGTCGCGAGCTGCGGGTGATGCGAGAACCTCGCCGGCAGAGGCGCTCGACAAATGCCTTGCGGCGGCCTGTCCGATTGCAAATGGCGCTGCAGCTAGAGGGAGTTAGCGGGCTCGATAGATGCTAGCTGTCGTGGCCAAAGCCTATAATGTACATGTTCCCTTACTAAGAGCGTTCATTTGAGTGCTTGCACTGTTCCGCTCGCCGCCTCGTCGACTCCCATGTAGTTTTTAAACCCAGGGTCCACAGGTTCCAAAGGTAGGAAGGTTGGTTGGACCTAGTGACTCAACCAAAGGTAGGAAGGTTGGTTGGACCTGGTGACCCAACCAAAGGTAGGAAGGATGAGGCAACAAAGAGTAACTTGAGGCTCCGGTTTTAAGGCCTTACTCAGTTGCTAGTCGCATATTCTTTAGTCTATGTGTGTCACTCCGTAGTTGGTGACGGGAGAGTTCCTCGTGTTTACAACCCTAAGGGCGCGTATCCTTGAGGTTGAACTTCTGCCAAGGTTCGAACTTCTAGAAATGTTGTACATGGTAGGATACAGTTGAGAAACGAGTCACCACGGTAGAAATGCAGGGTTTCGGCTTGAACTTTGACAATCTTCACCAAAAGACACGCGCCCTAAATGCAGGTTGGCTTCATCGCCAGCCCCCTTGCCAAGCTCATTCGTTTTCGTTGTGGCGAAATCTATTTGGCTTCTCTACAAACACCACCGGTACTTTCAAATGTATACAAAGGCTTTAAAGCTCTCAGCCCAAATTGCGCAAGATTACTAATCTTGCGTGCTGAGGGGTGGGTTTGGGAACATAAGAGTCGAGGGGAGGTTGGGAAGGTGACCTGTCTGATTTCGCCCGTAACATTTGTTTTTTTTTTTTTTTCGTTGAGTCAGCAAGCTTCAGGGGAAACGTGAGTTTGGGGACCTTGAGTCCCAAATTACAGAGTAGTAAAACTCGATGTTTTGGCACTGAGTTTTGCTTCGACAAATCACGTTGCATCTCACCTACTATAACCAAATTTTCACCAAACACCAGCACAATAAACGAGAAGTGTGCAAGATTACTAATCTTGCCCTGCGCGGCCCGCAATTTGGGCCTTGAGCGGATGAAGGAGTTGCATGGGATTGGAGATGGAGGTGGAGAGAACGATGAAAGCGTACGGAGACCCAACAACTTGGGGGAGCAATGGCAGGAAGACACTGCAATTTGTTCTCGATATTTGAACACCCCATACCCTTTGTATCAGAGATACCCTACACTGATTGAAGCTCTATACTACACACACCCAGAAATTCAGGGGCTCTTAATCGAGAGCCAGAAGGTGCATGAAAGGAAATTTTATTTTCCTAGATCGGAGTTGAATGCTGTTGGAATAACCAACGGTCATTTTAACATTCCTGAAGTTCGCCTTAACGCACCGCTTCATAACGAGACAGCACTGTACTAATACCGCATTAAGCTCACATAGAGCACGCGGCAGTTGAAGGTTACGTGAAAGTCAACAGTCTCAGCTGTTGACTATCAGCTGTCAACACTAGAAGCAGGAATGGTTGCATTGAAGAGAATGTGGGTACAAGTACTAACCCTAACTTTGGGTTGTACCCCATATGGGCTACCCCACTATAGCCTACAAACAACTAACACACATATATTGTTTGACACACCCCCATAGGCAAAGTAGGGGAGAACAAGGGGTCACAAGACCAGTCAAGAAAAGCAAAGCAAGCCCAGGGTGGATCACAACGTCACCACATACTCTGAGCACAAGTAAAGGGCCACAAGGCCAGTTCACATGCAGAGATATATATGCAACAACAACAGTACAGTGATCACTCTCTAGCAGGAGCAGGCATGCAGGTATATATATAGATCACAGTACAAACAAAGTCAAGAGGTAAGCAAGTGAGCAAACACTGGCACCAGGCCTAAAGCTGTGCAAAAGCGCTGATGGTCACAAGGCGGAAGTGCCTTGGTGAACACATCAGCAGTGTTGGCCCTGGTGGCCACGTAAGAAACACGAAGCTGACCACGCTGCTGCAGCTCTCGAGCAAGGAAGTAACGCAGAGCGATGTTCTTCGTTCTGTGCTCCAGTCTGTGCTCCTGACACAAGGTAATAGCAGCCTTGTTGTCTACGTACAGAACTGGAGGAGAACGAGGCCTCTCTCCCAAGTCGGTCAGCAGGTAGGTGAGCCAGCGTAACTCCTTAGCAGCCATGGTCGTGGCGTAGATCTCGGCCTCACAACTGGAGCTGAGAACAGAAGACGAGCGAGTAGACCGCCAAGAAACAGAGCCGGAGCCAAGGCTAAACATGTACCCCTGTGACGACCGCTGCGTAGCCAGGTCGTCGACCCAAGAAGCGTCGGAGTGTCCAGTGAGGACAACGTCACCCCGTCCTCCAAGCACGAGCCCCATGCCCGATGTACTGCACAAGTAGCGTAACACCCTCTTAGCAGCCTCCCAGTGCTCTTGCCGGTGTCTCCCAGACGCAACGTAGCGAGCCAGGATGCTAAGAGGGTACGCAAGGTCAGGTCGAGTGCAGATCATCAGGTACATGAGGCAGCCCACAAGCTCTGGATACGGGCCACTCGGCTCTACGGACTCATCCGAAGGCAGAGCTGAGAGCGAGTGACCCGTAGCCATAGGAGTGGACTGTGGCGAGGACCAAGTGAAGCCGAAGCGCAGAAGGACCTGCTGCACCATGTGTGACTGAGTCAGGGTGATGGTGCGGCGTGCTCTGTCCCGGGTGATCTGCAAGCCAAGGTAACTGTGCAGCTCACCCAGGTCTGTGCACGTGTGTCGCTTCTGCAGCTCCGACTTCACAAGAGCGAGTGCCTCAGTGTCAGCAGTGGCAAAGACCAAGTCGTCGACGTACACGAGAATGCGGAACGGCGGCAGCGAGGTGTCGGTGCGTAGAAACAGCGACGGGTCAGCAGTGGAAGGAGCAAACCCAAGAGCCGCCAGTGTCGTCCTCAGTGTGTCGTGCCACTCACGAGGCGCATGACGGAGACTGTAGACTGGCCGCCGGAGGCTCCACTGGGTACCAGGAGGAAACGATCCAGTGAAGCCAGGTGGGCGGCGTAGCCAGATCTCCTCGTGCAGACTGCCCTGTAAGAACGTTGTGCTGAAGTCCAGGGAGTGAAGCTCGTAGTCACGCTGAGCGGCAACGTGCAGCAGCACCCGAAGAGCGGTCATCTTCGGGGTAGAGGAGAAGGTCTGGAAGAAGTCAACTCCCTGTCGTTGACTGAAGCCTCGTGCGACGTAACGAGCCTTGAAGACAGGCGGAGAACCCGGCGGCCGCTTCACCCTGAAAATCCACATGCCATCGACGATGTTCGCCCTAGGAGGGGGAACCTCGTCGACGTAAGTGCCTGTGGACTTCCAGGATGCCATCTCTGCGTCCATGGCTGTATGCCACTGAGAGGAGTAGGGGCCCGTAATCGCCTGTGCGTAAGAGCGCAAGGTCGGGATGTCCAGTGCATCCGGGTCTCCCTCAGGGGCAAGCAGCATGGCCACGAGATGAGGTGCAGCGGCTGCAAGACACTCAAAGTCCTCCTGTCTGTCCTCAAGGACGTCCATGCCAAGAGCACACTCACCCCCGACGAACAGAGGAAAGACAGACTCAGACTCAGCAACAAGACTAGCGACATGGTCAAGACGACACGCAGCAGCAAAGTCAACAAGCTCAGCGACCAAGGCAGACGCAGCAGCGGACTCAAAAGAAGGGTCAGTGACAACGATAGCGAGGAGACGGGTGACAGTAGGGCTGGCAGCCCGAACACGGTTAGACTTAGAGTCCGGAACGTCCGGAAGAGAGGACGCAGGCGGCGAC